GGATTCCCCAACAGGGGGGAGTCGTATTTGGTCGCTGGGGGAAGGGGAAGGAAGGGGGGGTGTCTGCCTCCTGGCCTTATGAGAGGAAGTTTTTGATTTTTAGTGGTTTTTCCTGTTTCATATGTACTATATCCCTCCCCTCGCTCGACAGCGAAATTTTTGAGAAGATTATGGAAAATTTCCGGGAACTGCCGGAGAATCTGGTAGAAAATTGAGAAAATCTTAGAAAGTGGTTGGTAGGATGGGGATAGGGAAGGAAGGGGGAGTATTTTGTTCGCGGTTTTTCCCGTTTCACTTATGCTGTATACCCACCCCTTCCCCTTTCGACAGCTCGATGAGGAGGGAAGTAGGGGGAGGTCGTCTCGAGCCTAGCTTAGGGGGAGGGCTCGTAAGGAGTCGAACAAATCCCTAACTAATGGTAAGCCTTGAGAAAAAATTCTGAAATTGTAGTAGAAAGCTGAGAAAAATCCAAGAAACTGGGGGGAGTGGTAGGTAGGAAGGTGGTGAAGTCCGGAAGTTTTCTCCAGCGGATGGGGGTGCTCTGATTGTTACATAAGGCGCTGATGTAGCATAGTCCCATACAAGAGTGATTCCTGTGTAAGCCGCGGGGCTAAAATGCTCTTCAAGGGTGAGTGGCTTCCCACGAAATGCAGGTACGGTGTTTCTTGAAGAGTTGGTTCACCCACACTGGAATCTCAACACGTAAGATCTTCGAATATGGAATCCTACGACAACGCTACATAAAAATTTTCAAGTAGTGTAAAAAGTATTGAGTCCAGCTATTTGACACTGACCAGACTGATTTGCTCAACTTACTGACCAGGGAAGTCCGCCAACTTACCATGGAACTTTGAATGGAGACCTGGGTAGATCGATAGAGTCTATAAGGTTATTTACAAATATAGATAGCAAAACTGCAACACAAGCAACTTATGAGCAGGTAAAGTTTGTAATGGTGCAGTAGGGTGGAGGCTTGGTGGTGAGCTGTGAAGCATAAGCGAGGAATCGCATACGTCGAGTCGTGGTGGTTCAGTGGTAAGGTTCGACGTTCGACGACTCGATTCGACGTATGCGATTCCTCGCTTATGCTTCACAGCTCACCACCAAGCCTTTACCTGCTCATAAGTTGCTTGTGAAATGCAGGTTGCAGTTTTGCTATCTATATTTGTAAATAACCTTATAGACTCTATCGATCTACCCAGGTCTCCATTCAAAGTTCCATCGTAAGTTGCCGGACTTCCCTGGTGAGTCATTGTAGCCGGGTTAACACCAATTTCGCGCTTTCTCCCCCCTTTTTGGCCGCTTTGATAACAAGCGACGGTTATGGATCTCGCGAATGTTAGCTGTACTAGGAAAAATACCACCATACAAAACCTGTCTGCCATAATGCCATAAGAAAGGAAATGTGGATTTCACAAAAACCTGTGCAGAATTTTTTTTATTACTCATCGGAAATTTATTGAATAAATGTCATATTCGATCGGACCAAGCAGGTTGACTCCTATGTTTGATTGGACCAAGCTGACTATTTCACAGTTAGAAATGTTTAATACCGCCCCGCCCCACCTTCAAGTTAGGATGACTAATCTGATAGCACTCTTGTGAAATTATGGGTTGGTCCATAGGCCGTGACGTTTCGTCGAACTATAATATCTAAGCTAAAATCCTGTACCATTCGATGAAGTTCTTTGGAGTGGGGACATTGTACTTAGTTTTTTTTTTCTTGACGTTTCGCTTTTGATTAATTTTTAAGTGGCTGAAGTGGAGTGTTACGTCGAAAAAAAGCGAACATTCGACAGCCTCTGCTTTTTGTTTTTTAGTCAAGAAGCGTCAGCCGCAAAAGCTTTGTTATAAAAAGCGTGGCTGCGAAAGAATGCTCCCCAGGAGGGTAGAAATTGGTTTGAACCATTCAGTAATTCCAGTTTCGACCCCGCAGACGCACATCGCAGTGGACATTCAGCTTATTCACAAAGGGTACGCCGTACGTTGGGAATCCCTAGCGAGGCTGGTCATTGGAGGGGCGGGGATCACACTTGCCTTCGTGATAAATGTTCTTACTTTAGTAGTTTTAATTGAGAACAGGACTGTTCTTGGGAAACAGCTCAAAAAAAGGCAAGAAGAACCAAGGATTAAGAAAGTTGGTGGTTGAGGTGGGAAAGGGGCTGGCTGGTCGTAGCAGAGGAGTGGGTTTGAGGGGGGGGGGTGCATTCTGCGAAATTTTTCTGCAACGGCAGAACGTGCCGCGTTCACAAAGGCCAAATAATGAGGGATCGGTAGCGGTCTGGGAGTGTAGTTGTACCAGATGACCTGATTCGGCACCATAATTTCACACTCACGATGCTGTACCCTTATCCGGCTTCGTGGGTTAATCTCGAGTGGCCGAAGCCTGCACAGGGTACCGCATCGTGATGTGTGAAATGGTGGTGTGAGTGCGA